AATGCTTTTTTGGAACTCAGAAGGTAGATTTTGATGTTTCTCATAGGCTTTCAAATGTAGATGTTTAGCCCCATCTTTTTTTTTTTTTTATTTCCCTTTTAGACAATTAGATTCTGAATGTGCAGAAGGCTTTTATTTGGTTTTTGAGATTATGTTTTTTTAATGAGAAATGGAAAATTTGGTGTGGAAATCCTTTGGAAGCTTTGGAGGAAGTTGCTCGTGTCTTGATAGCTTTTAGTAGAAAAATGATGAATTAGTGCTATCAAGGGGGACATTTCCGGGGAAGAGACTTAATGTGGAAATTATAAATTTATTCCTGATTTTTCTTTTTTAAATTAGGCTTTCTCCTGTTTCTCAGAGGATTTATCAATTATGCAAAGGTTCGGAAGATGCCAGAAACTTTCTCAAATCTCCCCAGGACCAGAGTTCTCTTTATTTATTAAAGGTATTAAAGAAAAATCAAACTTTGCTCTAATCCCAGTGTAATGATGTGATGCATTGCAGGTTTCTATTCAGGTTCAGAGTAGAGCGTACCTCCTGTGGTAGGGGATATGGAGAAGGTAATGAAAGCACAGTCCTTGCCTTTTAGCAGCTTCTGGTTTTGTGAGGGTTGTTTCTACAAAAAGCTGTGGGAAAAGGTAAGTTAGAAAACTGCCATAGGAGGAAACGTTATCTCATGTTCTGACAGTGCAGAAAAGGCCGGGGTCTTAGTAGTCATCAGGAGGTAGGATATTTGGCTGGGTCTAGGGATTTACTAGTAGATCTTTGAATCTTGAATCCCGAAGTCACTGCTTACTGTAGTACCAGTTCTAGAAGACAGTATTGGGAAGGGGCCTTTCAGCTCTAATTATGTAGGACCCTAAACCCCTGAGCTGGGAGAGTTCCTTAGGAACTCCTTTTGCCTGGACTTCTAACAAGCCCACCAAGGCTTACATTCCTTAAAAATTAGTCAGGGATGCTTTCTTGGTGCCTTGTTTCAGGGTTACACCCTGATTTTACCATTCTGGTGGTAGGGTGGGTTCAAACGAAAGGAGGGGGAGAAAAGGTCTTTTCTCCTGCCTAGAATAAGAGGACTAAGCCCTGTAGAGGCTCTTAGATTTAAAAGAGAAGAGATGGTAATTACACCAGCTAGGCCTCCCCGGTACCAACATCTAATAGGCCTTCTTGGACTTCACTCTTTGTTCCTTAACACTGGTGAGGATGGTGAATCAGCTCTGGCCTGGCCCCTAGGTATCTTGAGCAACACCTAGGGGCCAGGACAGTTGAAGCCTCAGGCAAGGCTTGTAAAGAGTGTAGCAATTGAGATAAGCTTTAGATGATAGGTAGCATTTATGTTAGTGCAAATTAGCTGGGTGGGGAAGAATTTCAGAATCGCTGAGGCAGAGTGGAGTGCCAAAATACAGGATGAGAAGTATGAAGCTTGCCCAAGGGACTACAGTTTGATTGTAGCATAAAGGAGCATTGGGGGTCAAGACTGGAAAGCTGGGTTGAACAAATAGCTGTTCTGAATACTAATACCTTGAATACTAAGCCCATTTGCAGTGGGGCCAATAGAATTCATAGAGCATTACTTTAAACTTAGTGACATGTTGGCTCAATTCAAGACTAACCCCATGTGAACATCAATCAGTTTGTTCAGTATTTGCTGTTGGGTTATCATAGTTTATTTAGCTAATCATATGCTAAGGGTGGAGTTCTCAATGTTGAAGATTTGTGTAGGTCTCAGAATGTATCTATCCTATCTAATAATAGACAAATGGGGTAATTAACCATACCTCCGACATGCTTCCCATTGGCTAATCAGGGCAATATGCAAATTAACTGCCAACCAAGATGGCGGCCGGCAGCCACATAGCTGAAGCGAACAAGAGGCTTGGTTGCCCTGGCGATGGAGGAAGCCGAGGTTCCCTGCCTGCCACTACCGGGCTCTGAGCTGCACTCTAAGCAACAATGTTGCAATTATAGAAGCTAAACAAACCCCAGATACCTGCTTTCA